AGGGTTTAGGGTTTTAGGGTTTAGGGTTTAGGGTCTGGGGTCTGGGGTCTGGGGTTTAGGGTTTGGGGTTTGGGGTTTGGGTTTATGGTTTAGGTTTTAGGGTTTAGGCGGTTTAGGGTTGAGGGGAACCGTTTAGGGTTGAGTTTTGAGGGTCTGAGGTGTGCACCTCACAGCCTATACCGGTTCAGATTGCTTAGGCTTGGTTTGGTTTCGGTTTGTACAAATCGGTTTGTTTAGACTCAAGGGCTTAGGTTTAGGGGTATACTGGTTCAGGTTTTTAACGTCTGGTTTGCGGTTTGGGGGTTTGGCTTTGTGGCTCTGAGCTTCATGACAATCCCAACAGTGCTCCTAAAGGGGCAGGATAACGTGTGTCAATTCGGCAAATGTCTTCGAAGTACACATGGACAAAACTAGGCAATTTGTCGCCGCGGTTGAAACCGCACCCTAACTTCAAGAAAGCTAGATTTTCCCCTAGCGGAGATGCTGACTTTTGCAGCTGTTAGCCTAGGTAGGCTTTTGAAGGCGTTGTTGCGAATAGTCGGATTTCTGCAGGTTGTTAGCACCTTTTTGCTCGGTGCACCAATCACGCCGCTGCAATACCCTCAACCCTGAACCCCCGAACCTTAAACCTCCAACTCCAAACCCCAAACCACAACCACAAACTCATAGACCCTAAGCCCCAAACTCCAAACCCTAAACCCTAAACCCCAAGCCCTAAACCCTAAACCCTAAACCCTAAACCCTAAACCCCAAACCCCTAAACCCCTAAACCCTAAACCCTAAACCACAACGCAGGTTCTTCAATGAGAGACAGCTCTCCTTGGCTCTCTTCAGCAAAGTTCAGGCACCCTAGGGTTTAGGGTTTAGGGTTTAGGGTTTAGGGTTTAGGGTTTAGGCTTTCTTTCACTACTGATTGCTTAAGAACCTCGAAAAAAAGTCCTTCCTTATGAAGAGTAATACAGGGATTCTTGTGTGTTTTGTTTTATTAATTCTTTTGGGTTCTTAAGCAAAAAGTAGTTCAGCTTCTTGTCAACCGTACCAGGGCCCAGAGTAGGCGCTTATTCCCGTAGGGTTAGGGTAACTAAGGCCCAGAGTGGGCCCTTATTCGCTTTGTTTAGGCTCAGGTTCCCTTATAAGACCCCTTAAACCCAAAAGGGTACCCTTTACCCTTTTTCTCATACCTAGATTACTCTTGGGTCTAGAGTATATCTTTGCTAGCTTCAAGGTTTACCCGTAGCAGACCGCATGTCTGCAAAAGTCTACCCATTCAACAAGGAGTTCCCCTACACATTCTCGCAAGTTCGGCCATTTTGCTTTGAGTTCGGGGGGCACCCTAGACCCTAAACCCTAAACCCTAAACCCTAAGCCCTAAGCCCTAAGCCCTAAGCCCTAAGCCCTAAGCCCTAAGCCCTAAACTCAAAGTAGCATGGGGATCATCCTGCTATTCTGCTTCGGCTCACGCAGTCTGCCCGGGCATCATGACCAAGAGAACAAGGAAGTCAGCAACAACATGGAACGACACAACACCGATATCAAACTAAGCCCTAAACACTGAACCGTAATCCCTAAAGCCGAGACCCCAAACCCTACAAACCCTGAACCCTAAACCCTAAACCCTGATCCCCTGCCTGAGTCCACATGCACCTTGTGTTGGTGCGGGTCTCGTTGCGTCCCTTTCCCCTAAGGTTCCCGAAGCTCAGAAAAAAAGGGACGCAAGGCACGAGAACCATCCTGGCTTGGGAATCCTAGAGCTCCCGGACACACCTCCTAGCTTATGGTTTTGTGGTTTAGGGTTTAGGGTTTAGGGTTTCGGGTTTAGGGTTTGGGAGAAATCAGAGAACAGAACGTGAAGCTTTAATCTGAGTCCGAAGCTGACAGCCCTTCCCTGTCTACGGTCGATTCACCGCACCCAGAGTGAAAGCGTTTAGGGTTTAGGGCTTAGGGTTTAGGGTTTAGGGTTTAGGGTTTAGGGACTACTAAAGCCTGGCACTCAATTATCCTGAATGCTCATGCTTAAAACCCCAAACTCAAGAGACCCTAGCCCGGAAACACTAGTCACTAGTATTCTTAGGAGCTGGGTAGTTTACCTTTAAGCTTTCTGGTTACAAAGAATCCCAATACAACAAACAGGTGAACCTTGTTTGGGCTAGGGTTGTCAGCACCTACGTATGGGGCCTTCTACCCTAAACTCCAAAACCCTTCCCTAAACCCTATAGACCCTAGACCCTAGACCCTACACCCTAAACCCTAAACCCTAAACCCTAAACCCTAAACCCTAAACCCTAAACCCTAACCCTTTTCAGACAGGCCGCCCTGCACGTTGACAGCTCCGAGACCGTGCGCCTGCGCGAGGAGGAAGTGACGTTGATTGAAGGCGCGGCCGGCTCTTTGTTTTTGGCTTGTGGGGGCTTACCCAAAGGCTCCAATGTAGTTCCTGTTGGGGGTTAGTTATAGGGATTCCAGTATACTACCCTAAACAGGTACTACATAGGAGCCTTTGGGTAACTCAAGGTTAGAGCTTGGGGCTTTAGGGTTTGGGCTTTAGGGCCTTGGGCACTAGGGTTTTTGAGGCTTATAGGGCTTACCTCAACCCTAAAGCCTTAACCCTACGCTCTGGACGTGACACCAAAGAGCTCTCACAGGCTTTTTGGGCTTCGATGCGAAAAAATCCTGAATCCTAAGCCCTAAACCCTAAACCCTAAACTGTAGATTCCAACCGTTAGGGTATCTACCTATGGAACAACGGGCCCTTACAGAGAGGGGTACTCCTGAGTAAGACCTGTTTCGAACCCCAACCCCTGCATCCTAGCACTTAAGCCCTAACCGCGCGACCCTAAACCCTAAATCCTAAAACCCTAAACCCTAAACCCTAAACCCTAAACCCTAAATCCTAAAAACCCTAAACCCTAAACCTCATAGCCACTGCGCGTTGCTCAGGAATCCCAGAGCGGTTCAAGGTTGAAATGCACAAGGTGCGCAGAGTTTGTTTGGTCTGAAATATGAGCCAGGTAGGCCCCCTAGACCCTAAACCCTAAACCCTAAACCCTAAACCCTAAGCCCTAAACCCTAAACCCTAAACCTCTGGGATACTTTGTATTGTCCCGTATTGGGTTTAATCTAGGAATACACTTTTCAGAGGGTTTTGCGGGCCATCCTAGAGCATCCTTACCAGAAATGTCCGCTGGGAGGGTTTTGCAGGGGTTTAGGGTTTAGGGTTTAGGGTTTAGGGTTTAGGGTTTAGGGTTTAGGGCCTAGGGCTAGGACCTTTAGGACCTTTAGGGTTTAGGTTTTAGGGTTTAGGGCCTCTAGGGTTTAGGGTTTAGGGTCCCCGAAGTGGGGAGGTGGCCCTTGAAGGATCTCCGGTACTCCTAAACCCTAAACCCTAAACCCTAAACCCCAAAGTCGAAGCTTGGGTTTGGGGTTTGGGGTTGGGCTTTGGGGTTAGGGTTCAGGGTTTAGGGCTTTAGTTGCCACACCCCTTTCGATTTACGATGTAGTTATAGGGGGGTATCAGGGGGTCTAGCTGATCCCATGGCTGGAGTTCGGACTTGTGTTTACGGATCCCACTACTTGTCTAGGGACCCTAAACCCTAAGCCCTACAACCGCCCTTTCCTCGGTAGGCCCTTGGGATATTTACTATTTTCCCGTATAGGGTTTGAGAGGACCATATTTAGGAATTTAGGAATACTTTTTTCAGAGGTCTTCCAGGGCCATCCTAGTTTCGAACCCGGAAACAGGAGATGTTCCTGCACTCTTTGATGACTGTGAACATCTGGCCTCGGTGGACGTACAACGCAGCATGGGCTCATAGTAGGGGTTTAGGTGTTAGGATTTAGGGTTAACGGTTTGGGTTCTAAGATTTTGCCTATGACCTGGTAGCCCGGTGGTACCACTTTACATGTTTTGGGCTCAAGGGTCCCTGAAAAAGTAAGCAACCCCAAAAAGGGTGCCCTTATCCTGACATGGTTACTGGGCTACCAAGATGAAGATGGGGGTTTCCGAAAATTAGGGGAACCTTATTGGGGTCGTTGTTATAAGCGAATCCTACTCTTTGAGGGACCATATTCCCGCTCCCTTATTCTGTGGTAGACCCCCATATACATATCTACCTTGGGGCTTAGGGCAATGTACATGTATGTGTGCAGTTAACGGTTTAACAGGGTCTGGGGTCTAGGGTTCGTTTGCTGCGAGATGTCGATGAAGCTTGAGGACGCACCAGAATTTCTCAACAGCATTTGCCACCGCGTGATGAAGGCGAGCATGGGGTGAAGTTCGGAGTTTCCCGGTTTAGGGTTTAGGGTTTAGGGTTTCGGGTTTAGGGTTTAGGGTTTCGGGTTTCGGGTTTAGGGTTTAGGTACAGGGCTTTGAGGGTCGGGCTGAGGGATCCAGGAATCCGGTCCCCAGAGCCGGCCACCCGGAGGCCCGGACCCTAAACCCTTGTCACAACCCTAAACCCGTTCAGGGTTTAGGGTTTAGGGTTTAGGGTTTAGGGTCTAAACCCTAAACCCTAAACCCCCTCATCAAACCCTTTAACCCATAAGCCCTAAACCCCCCTAGACCCTAAACCCCTAAACCTGAACCCTCTAGGTCCTAAACCCTACCAAGCCCTGCACCTGCTCAACCCAAGATTTGATGGTCGCGGAGTAGCCGAAAGTAAGGTTAGGGTTGGGGGTTGGGGGTTTAGGGTTTAGGGTTTAGGGTTTAGGGTTTAGGGTTTAGGGTTTAGGGTTTAGGGGGGATGCAGCTGTGAGACACCAACCTGAAGTAGGCCTGCGTGTCTGTATACATAAAGCACGAACTGGAGGATTCCTAAACGTGGGAGCGCTTTGTCGTTTGGGAGGGGGGGGGGAAAGGGGCCCTTGAACGTGCACTGCCACCACAGAGATTGGTTTAGGGTTTAGGACCTTTAGGATTTAGGATTTAGGGTTTAGGGCTGGCTTTGCAGGAGCACAGCGCTAGAGGCGGTCAGGATGTTTTCCTGCCCCGCACGAAGTGCCAGATGGTGTATTTGGTTCAGTCCGGGGACATGGAGTACGTCGATGAAGACACTTGGCTATCAGATGACGGTTCCACTTTGTTGCCCCTAAACCCTAAACCCTAATCCCTAAACCCTAAACCCTAAACCCATAGTAAACTATATGGCTCTTGTCTATTTAGCTTGCGATGACCAGCTCGTAAGGACAAGAGGACAAAGTACCTCACTGCTCGCCCGGACCATGACGTCGAAGTGCTCAGCTTGCCAAACCTTTGGGCAGAATGGGTACACACCGGCCGCTTGACTGCCACGTCGAACATCTGCCACTACGCCGGTATCGACTGCAAGCAGTTCTGCACAACGGCCACCCACTTCGGCGGGAGGCTGTGCGAGTATCTGAAGGCCCGGCAGGGTGTCAGGGTTCAGCTGAACTTGAGTCGCAGGGCTTGCACAAACATCCCTAGTCTGCGCCCTTCCCTAGAGCCCTGAGGGGCGCCTCTTGTCGTGTTAAACCCTAAACCCAACTTGCCAACCCTAAACCCTAAGCCTGTTGCCACCTACGCTGCGGCCCCAAAGGGTGTAAGGTTATCGTATAGATCCTGGCAGATACCCGGCCCCATGCAAGGATGGGTTGTAAGCGGCAGTAGCGTCGTGTTGCAACTTGACCTCACCTGCGTGGAGGGCGCGTGGGAGGGACGTGCCATGGGAGGAAAGGGGTACTTTGTTCCTAAACCCCAAACCCTAAACCCCAAACCCTAAACCCCAAACCCTAAACCCTAAACCCTAAACCCCGGAGGCAGTGGGCATTTTAAGGGCGTGCAGGCATCTCCTGCGGGGCATGGTTTGGGATGTTCCCCCTTTTTCTAAGAGTCCTTAATCGGGATGATTCTCCTGATCGTTGCAGTGTTGTGGGAGTGCCCTCGGTACCCTGAATCTTTAATCGAACAGAAGGTATGTACCTTCGAATGTTCCATCTGATGCTAACAGTTCTTAATACGGTATAGTACCCTATAATTCCATCATAAATTATATTTCCATAATAAACGATAACTCCATAATAGATTATAATTCATAATAAAATACAATTCCATAATAAATCATATTTCCATAATAAACTAAACTCCTACATAAATCCTGAGCGTGGAGGTTCTGGGCATTCTTCTCATTGGCGAGATCGAAAGCCAGGAGGCGGAGACAGAGGTTTAGGGTTTAGGGTTTAGGGTTTAGGGTTTAGGGTTTAGGGTTTAGGGTGTCTGGATGCTCATGAGTACCCAGAGGGTCCATTTGTACTACTATTATGGAAGTAGGTACCCCAAAACTCTATTTAGTATATTTTTTGAGTACCTTATTTAATTCGTAATAGCAATACAAATGGACCCTCTGGGTTGCACGATGCGGAGATCTGCAGCTATAAGCGGGTGGCAACTCACACAGCCACCAATAGCTCTCAAACCGTACATGCTTAGGTTTTGGGTTAGGGTTTATTTCAGGGTTCAGGGTTCAGGGTTCAGGGTTCAGGGTTTAGGGTTTAGGGTTTAGGGTATGAACCTTCAAGCATGTTTACAAAAGTCCGCTCTCACAAGGACATGTTTTGGGGTTGCTGGAAGAATTAGGGTCTGAAGAAAGGAAATTGGGTTTTATGAAAAATTGGGGTACCCTAATATACCCCCCCCCCCCCCTTCCCCAAACACTCAAATCCTGATTATGGGACCCCCGATATTGTCGGAACCCCCCCCCCCCCCCCCCCCAAATATCTTGCTCTTGTCTGCCTCTGCAGAATAATTAAGAAGTTTGCGTCGGGAGTGTGGTTTGAGCTACCTCTACTCTTTTTGCTGCAGTGAAATAGTCTCTCAAACAGTTTCGCTGAAGTCAAGCACTCTCTGCCACATTTTTCAGCTCGATTGAAAAGAGCTCACAGCAAGATCTCTCTGCCCTCATTTCAATTTCTGCAGCTTCCTGGGCTTTGAGAACCTTTTTGAAATAACTTTGGGACGGCATCCTTCTGCCCCCCACTCATGCCCCGAAATCATAGTCAGGGCTCCGACCACCCTGACGTGAAGGGAGTCTTTCAGGAAACTAACCCTAAACCCTAATAACCCTATAAACCCTACAAACCCTGTAAACCCTATAAACCCTATAAACCCTAAACCCCAACCCCAAACCCCAAACCCCAAACCCCAAACCCTAAACCCTAAACCCTAAACCCCAAACCCCAAAGCCGCAAACTTCAGAGCGCGGGGCCCCCCCTCGTCATGACAGACGTGTGAGCCGAGAAGTCCCCCGGCTTTAGGCCAAGCTGTAATAGAGGGGTTTAGGGTTTATAGAGCTTAGGGTTTAGGGTTTAGGGTTTAGGGTTTAGGGTTTAGGGTTTGCCGGAATAATTGCCAATAATATTCCCTTATGGTCCCTTTATAGTCACACTGTAGTAACCCCCAAAATCCGATTCTAATTATGAAGGCCCCTATATTACTCCCACCGGGTATGACTTCGGCCCACCCAAAGTACAAGATCACTAGATGGTCTGTTAGGGTTTAGGGTTTTGGGTTTCGGGTTGGGGTTTAGGGTTTAGGGTTTAGGGTGTAGGGTTTAGGGTTTAGGTTTTAGGGTTTAGGGTTCCGAGTGGTTCCGAGTACGTATGTCATCGATTAGATTTGGGAACATGAACCCTTTTGGCTTGCGCAGGCGCGAAGCATCCGCGTCACGGACGTGTGCGTGCCCAGGAGATTAGCCATTGAGGAGCTGCAAGGGAGGGGTGGGGAGGGTTCTGAAAAATCTACGGAAAACGAAGCTTCGTTGTCGTTTATCAACATCCTTAGCTCTGTTGGCTCAGGTAACCCTGAACCCTGAACTCTAAACCCTTTGATGAGCACCAGACGAGAATGTGCCTGACACGAATGATTCGGTTCTTCGAGTTTCGGGTTCAGGTTTAGGGTTTTACTACAGTCAACGACGTCTTTCATGGCCGCTCTTGATTCAAGCGGCAGCAGATTTCATGCACTTCTCCTGTAAGTAAGTCCATTAAATCAGCAGCCGCATTAGTGACCCTATAGGAAGCGACCCTCGAGTCAAAAGCAAATACCGCGGCTGTAATGGGCTCATGCTCGGTCACTTCCCAGAAGGCCTTGTTGACAAATGTGATTTCTTTCGCAAGTTTTCGCACACAAAGTTGAGACATTCCGTGCGTGTGTCTTCACCCAGAAGTCATTGAAGGATTGCAATCTCTAGCAACCAACCAGGGTTTCGGATTTAGGGATAACCCTAAACCCTAAACCTCCCTAAGCCACAATTAAATTGGATTCGGGATCATGGGTCATGCGTCATGCGTCGGGAGCAGACCTGGATTGACTTTTCTAGAGGAGCCCGAAACCATAAACCCTAAACCCTAATCCCTAAACCCTAAACTTGCCTTTTGCGTGACGGCCAAGAGAAGATGTATTCGTTGAAGACTGCGCGCGTCTGAATACCTTTTTCGCGTCTGGCATGGAAGCCAATAGAACTGTCTGAAAACATGTTAATCAGTGAAACTATGCAAGCTTGAGCTGTGTCATACCTACAACCCTATAGGACTCTTTGCCCTGGTTCCCTAAGTCCCAAACCCTCGAGCCTTACAACCAGCACTCCATCAACACCCTGACCCTAACTCAGCCCAAACCCCACATAACCCCCCAAATCGGCCCTAAAAGCAACAAAAATCAAAGCCCGAGCCCTGTATAAAACCCTTGAAACATCTAGAGTGTAAGCCCTGAAGCCCATAGTTCCGCCGGGGGCACTCGGCTGGGTCTTGCGTTTGTTGAGGAAAGGGTCTCGAAGGGCTAGAGGTTCAAGACTTGAGGGGATTTTTTGCGGAGGAGTTTCCGGCGGGGGGTGCAGTTTCGGCCTTCTTGCTTAGGGTGCGCGTGTAGGCTTCAGGTTTTCAGAGAGCAATCGGCTCAGTCGGGCTTGGATAGGGGAACACCTTGTATACCTCAAAAAAACCGAGCCCATTATTTTGGGAACCTTTGTAAAGGGTACTCCCCGCCCCCCCCCCCCCCCCCCGCGATTTTCGGAAACCTCAATATTCCCCTAGCATTCATCGAGTAAGGTCCCTAAGCCCTAAACCCTAAACCCTAAACCCTAAACCCCAAACCCTAAACCCTAAACCCTAAACCCTAAACCCCAAACCCTAAACCCTAAACCCTAAACCCCAGGGACACCCCCGGTCCGCAATGCTGAGCCCACGCGCACGAAGGAGCTCGCGCGTCGCGCGGAGCAGTACGCGAACCTGAAGGTGCCTGGCCACTGCAAGTTTAGGGCTTTTAGGGTTTAGGGTTTAGGGTTTAGGGCTTATAGGGTTTAGGGTTTAGGGTTTAGGGTTTAGGGTTTAGGGTTTAGGGTTTAGGGCTTGTCGCATGTGTTTGCGTAGAGTTGGGTAGAGGAAAAGTACTTGGCGCAAAGAAGATTTCATTATTACTTCCTTTCGGTGGAAGCGTCTACTACATGGACGCATGAACCCCTTGAACACTCTGTCCCTACTAGTACCCATATACAGATGGATGGGCGGACCAAGCGAGGGCCCATAGAGACCCCGCCTTTATGTGGGGTGTCCTTTGCAACAAGCACCCTACTTCATCTGGGCATTTCCCACAATAGGGGCACCCCAATAATATAATACACCGTAACAGTCATCCTGATTTTTACAGGAGCCCCCAAAAGGGCATTCCTTGGGATGTTCCCCCTTATACTAACAGTCCTTCGTAGGAATTATAATCGGGGGGTACGAGAATCCCTAGGAAGGACTGTTAGTATAAGGGAGAACATCCCAAGACATCCTTATAATCGGAAGCCCTTCATGTGTTATGGGGTTCTTAAAGGAGGGGGGTTTCATGGGGGGTAGGTACCTCGGGAATCTTAGGAAAGCTTAGAGAGCCAGTGGGGAGTAGTGGGGAGTATGAGGGCACCTTTGGGTTACAGACCCCCCTTGAACCCCCGTCCCTTAAGAACCCTGTAAATCTGGGTTCCTTTCGGTACATGTAGCCCCTAAACCCTAACCCCCTAACCCCTAACCCCTAAACCCTAAACCCTAGACCCTAGACCCTAAACCCTACATCCTAAAAGCCCAGGCAAAGGCTAGCCAGCCGGCGTCCTCCGCCGCCCTGCGCGTGGTGGAAAGCTTGACACTGAAACCATGAGACCGTTGAAAGTCTGGCGAACGGAAGCCCTAGAGTCCCTAGAATCTTTGTTTAGGGTTTAGGGTTTAGGGTTTAGGGTTTAGGGTTTAGGGTTTAGGGTTTAGGGTTTAGGGTTTAGGGTTTAGGGTTTTGTCATAGTGGGGCGTAGCATTTTACATCTTCACGGGGAATTAAACTCAATGAGGAATAGAGTTCAAAACATGTTTATTGCTATCCCAACCATGAACTAGGCATGATCGCGGGTTGCTGGGAGTTTTTGTCGTTGTTTTTGAGAAAGCATACCCGCTTCAGGGCTCTAGGTTATCATCCCGGCATGTCCCG